ACTGAAGATTGTTTTGGTTATATGGGATATTTTGTGGTTCCACAGAATTTTAGGACAGCGCTATCCATTTTTTGGGAAGGATGATAAGGGGGCTTTGATTAGCATTGCTTTGAATCTGCAAATAGCTTTTGGTAGAATGGTCATTTTCACAAGGTTGATTTCACCAATCTTGAGATGGGCTGTCTTCCCACTTCCTAGTGATTATATTATTATGTGATGCCACTGTGAATGGGTCCATGATCTTCCCTGTTTGTTTGTTGTTGGTGTATAGAAAAGCTTTTGATTGGTGCAAGTTGACTCTGTTTCCTGCTGTATTGCTGAATTTATCATATCTAGAGGTTTTCCACTAGAATTTTAGGGATCCTTAATGTATAACATCATATCCTCTACAAATAGTTTTAGTTTGACTTCTTTCCCTATTTGTATCCTTTAATTTCCTTCTCTTGTCTTTTTGCTCCAGGTAGTATTTCCAGCACAACTTTGAGAATGAGTGGGGATAGTAGACATCCCAGGCCCACTCTAAGTTCAGTGGGATGGCTTCAGGCTTTCTCCATTTAGGATGCTGTTGGCTGTGGGTTTCTTGTATGCTGATGCTATCATGTTGAGGTATGTTCCCTCTCGCCCTACATTTTCTAGGACATTTATTATGGAAGCATGCTTTTCAGAGGCCTCTTCTGCGTCTATGAGATGGTCATGTGATCATCTCATGTCCATTTATGTGGTTCATCACATTTATTGACTTGCATAAGTTGAATCATTCCTGCATCTCAGAGATAAAAGCCAACTTGGTCATGATGGATCATCTTTTTGATGTATGTCTATTTTCTGTTTGTAAGTATTTCATTGATTATTTTTAAATCTATGTTCATCAGGGGTATTAGCCAGTTATTTTATTTTGTTGCCTTTACATGGTTTTTGGTATTAGAGTGATACTGGCTTCATAGAAGGAATTTGGAGTTTGGAGGTGTTCTCTCTCTCTCTCTTTCTCTCTCTCTCTCTCTGTCTGTCTCCCTCTCATCCTTTCTTTTTTCTTTTTGAATAGTTTAAGAAGGATTGGCTATAGATCTTCTTTGAATACCTTGAATAATTTTGCTGTGAATCCATCTGGTCCCAGTTGTTTTTTTTCTTTTTCTGGAATATTTTTTTAAATTACTATTTCAATCCCCTCATTTGTTATGGGTGTGTTTAGACTATTGACTCCTCCTTCTTGGTTTAATTTTGAAATGCTTCCATTTCTTTTAGGTTTTCTAGCTTAATGGAGTACAGGTTTTAAAACTACTCCTTTATAATCTTATGAATTTCTTTGAGTCTGTTATAAAGGTTCCTTGTTCATTTCTGACTCTGTTAACTTGGGGCCTATCTTTCTTTCTTTTGGTTAGTTGGGTTAAGAGTCTGCCAGTCTCATGTGTCTTCTCAAAGAATAAGCTCCTAGATTCATTGATTCTTTGTATTATTTTCTTTGTCCCTATTTCATTGATTTCTGTTCTAATTTTTATTATTTCTTGTCACTGACTGGGTTTGGGTTTGTTTTGTTTTAGTTTTTCTGACGTTTTGAGTTGCACCATTAAATCATTTATTTGTGCTCTTTCTGATTTTTTAAAATGCAGGCACCAAGAGCTATATATTCCCATCGAAAGACTGCTTTCAATGTGTCCTGAAGGTTTGTTGTGTTGTGTTTTCATTTTCATTTAGTTTGAGGAGGATTTTATTTCCTTATTTTTTCTTTGATCCATTTATCATTCAGTAACAAGTCATTTAATCTCCATAAGTTTGTGTATTTATTAGAGTTTTTTTTTGCTGCCAATTTTTAAATTTTATTACCGTGTGGTTGGACAGGATACAAGGAGTGATTTCAGTCCTTTTGAACTTATTTTAGAAGAGCTTCTGTTTGTTATTGGGTAGAATGTGCATTTTGGTATGTGGTGGTTTGAATAAGAATGGCCCCCATAGGCTCCTCATAGGTCTGAATGCTTTATTGCCAGGGAGTGGCATTATTAGGAGGTGTGGCCTTGCTGGAGGAAGTGTGTCACTGGGGAAGCGCTTTGAGGATTTAGAAGCTCGAGCCAGACCCAGTGTCTCTGTCTCTTCCAGCTGCCTGCTGATCTGGATATAGAACGCTTATCTACTTTCCCCATGTTTGCCTGGGTGCCACCATGCTTCCCATCATGATGATAATGGACACAAACCCTGAAACTGTAAGCCACCCCAGTTAACCGTTTTCTTTATAAGAATTGGGGTGGTCATGGTGTCTCTTCACAGCACTAGAACACTGTCGTTCTGATGGGTTTTCCTTTATAAGTGATTTGTGTTTTTTCTTCTTGCAACTTTCCACACTTTCTTTGTCACATATACTTAGTGTTTTAACTGTAATATGCTGTGGGGATTTTCTATTTTTAATCTTGTCTATTTGGTGTTCTGTGTGCTTGCTGTATTTCTGTGGGTATGTCTTTCTGTAGTGATATATTTGCCTCTGCACCTGTAGCAGTAACCATGCCTTTTGGGAGTGGTTAACAGGTGCAGACATGAGCGGTTAAAGGAAATGGATCAGGGTTCAGAGCCCCTTTCGGTCTCAGAGGACATCTGGGAGGCAGGATCTGCATCCTTGGAGCAGGAACATGGTGACAGTCAGTCTCTTGTTTTCTGTGTAAGTTCTTTTCCCAAATAAACACCATCTATTGGCCAGGTGTTGGTGGCACATGCCTTTAATCCCAGCACTCGGGAGGCAGAGGCAGGCGGATCTCTGTGAGTTCGAGGCCAGCCTGGTCTCCAGAGCGAGTGCCAGGATAGGCTCCAAAGCTACACAGAGAAACTTTGTCTCGAAAACCCCAAAAAAAAAAAAAAAAAACCCAAAAAACAAAACAAAAACAAAACAAAACAAACAAAAAAAGCAAAAAAGAAAAACACCATCTATTATTCTACTGGGTCGGGTTAATTCATTACTGCCCACCTATATCTTTCCTAATTTAGGGAAGTTTTCTTCTATGATCTTGTTGAAGATCTGGTCTGTGCCATTAACTTGAGATTCTTCTCCCCTATTTATGCCTATAATTTGAAGGTTTGAGTTTTCTAGTTGAGTTATTGGGGTTTTCAATTTCACCTTCATTTCATCTTGAGTTCTCTTTAATGTCCAGCTCCTTACTGGATTCTGTTCTTAAGCACTGGATTGTCTTTGCTGTTTCCATCAGCCTATGTTTGCATTTTCTTTGGCATCACTCAGGCATTTATTATCCTCCAGCTCTTTCTCCTTAATTACATTGAGCTGTTTCTTTGTGTCTTCTTTAAAGTGCTTTAATACTTTGATAAAATTTATGGTTGTTATTTTAAATCCTGCATGCTGGGTTTCATCTAGATATTTCTCATCAGCAAACATTTCTACAGCACTGGTAGGTTTTAGGGAGAAGATCCTGGCCTGCTTTCCCACATTGCCATTTCTGCAATGAGTTCTGGGCATGTGGATTGCTTTTGTTCTGAGTCTGTTATGGACAGAACAGGTAGGGAAAGAAGAGAGGTGGTGTGGGTGGTTTGGGTTAGAGGGTGGAAATGGCTTGTGTGGATGAAGTCAGGTGATCAGAGAATACTAGACTCGTGTATAGAATATGCCTCCCTTGCCAAGCTGGAGTGCTGGGGTAGACCTGGTAGAAAGGCTGGATATGACTTTGGGGTGTCTTCTAGACTGGGAAGGTCCTGGATGAAGTCTGGAGCGCCTTTACAGTGTAGGCAAGGGAGTCCACACCAAGCAGGTGCACTGGTTGTTGGCTAGACCTGGCTAGACCTTGCAGGTGCAGACAAAGTGTGGACTGGATTTTAGGAAGACTCATCAAGCTAGAGGCGGACCTAGAAAGTCTGGGCACTGAGTGGATTGGTTGGGGCAGCACAGAAGGGACCTGTTGCAGGTAGGGTCAGTCCTGGAGAAAGACTGGAGTCTGTCTGTGGCACAGGCAGAGTGGTCAGTCGAGGCCAGGGCACTGCTTGTGGTACTGGGACTAGATCAGGAGGGTTTTGGAAAAGGATGAGCTGAAGTCTGGATACCGAATTGTGTGGATGGAGGCTGCTGCACACAGTTTCCTAAGATGCGACTTCCACCACATAGCCAAAAGTGGTACAGGGAGGCAGGGGTGTCATTAAAATCTGGCAGTAGCAAAGGCTTCTAATACTCAACTAATAGATGGAAATTAATTTCTGTCTGGGTAGAGCAAATGGACACCGGCCAGCTGATGGGTGACTCAGGGATCTGTAAATGCATGGCAGGAAACTCCCACATCCTTGGGATCTGGCCTAGGTTGATACCATAACATCTCAAGGGGCAGCCTGAGCAGGTAAAAGGTGAAGTTTATGGGCTGCTCTCTCTTTTCTTCCCATTGAGCATAAAAGGTAGGTTCTACAAGGAGGCCTTAGGATGTAGGTCCTGGGCCTCTGACTTTTTGGAGGCTACGTTTCAACAGAAAGCTGTACACTGCCTGCTTCCCTCCTGGTTTGGAACCCAAAGGCCCAATCTTCTGCACACACAAGAAAGGCACTGAGGGGCTAGCATGGTGTCTGTGCAGAGCCCTGGGGCTGTGGGCTCCATGGAAGAGAGGGAACATTCACACTCAATCAGTTGGGAGGAAAGTGGAGAGATGTGGTTTGGAGTTCCGACTTGGACATAGTTGCTTTGGATATAGGGCTGGGATGTATCACGGTTGGCTGAGTTGGGCTGTGGTCTGTATGGTGAGGATCATCTGCAGAACCCTAGGGCAGGGCACAGTGAGTGGTTTACATGTTCCTATGGAAACAGGCTCATTTGAGTACTGCATGTTTTGTAAAAAAAATACATATACTGTACACACACACACACACACACACACACACACACACAGGGCAAGAGGATGGGGGTGAGGGAGACTTTCAGAACACATTTTAACCACTTGAGTTGACAACAATAGCTTCTATTTGTTAAGCACTTTTTATACTGGGTCAATTAGAATGCTTTTGTTTGAAAATCACAGAAAAGACACTTGACATTTGTTTGAATAAATATAATAATTTCATGGCTGAAATGTGAGACACAATAGAGTTTTAATGTATTTGACTGGGGCCCTGGCTCAATTTCTCTTCTCTCTCTCTTTCTCCCTCTCTCCACTTCCCTGTTCAGCCTTCTCCAGGGTGGCTTCCTTGGTACTCCATGGTTATTATGAAGTCAATTCATAGATATTATACCATCCTCACAAAACAAAATAAAGAATTTCTCTTTAAAAATGGTCTGAGATAAGAGTTGATTTTCATTGTGATTGGACCAAGTTGGCAACATGTTCTAGGATACTTGATTAAAAATAAGTCCATGAAGGGGCTGGACTTTTTCCTCCCCTGCTTTTAGTCCCAGCACTCAGGAGGCAGAGGCAGAGGCAGAGGCAGACAGATTTCCAAAAGTTCAAGGCCAGCCTGGTCTACATAGCAAGTTCCAGGCTAGCTAGGACAACATGGGTGAGAACTTACCTCAAGATAAATAAGTAAATAAACAAATCCAATAAAATAAATTCAATCAAAGCCTCATCCAGGCAGTCTCACCCAGACCCCATTTGGGAAGGATGATAGGAAGACCATTATAACTAAAGAGGGTCTGTAATAAACAACCCATCTCATCAGCTTCTTTCTTTGAATATATGTATCTGACTGCCTTCCACTTTAGAGATGCTTCGGTACTGGGGGTCTTGAAACAGATTCCACTTTAGGGATGCTTTCACCTTGAAAGAGACATACCTGCTTGGCAGTGTGTGATGGAAGGAGGCTGGAATTACATGCACTGGTCCACTTTTAGATGAAAAAAATGGAAGAAGAAAAGAATGAGGACCCACTTAGAGGACAAAGACCTCATGGGGTGAATTCAGATGCAAAGGGGCTGAGAACCAGGGACTGACTTCAGTGGCAGCAGGTGTTTCTAGGGATCCAGAAAACAAACACCCAGAGTACTGATGCACAGGTATCCGAGTGATACGGAAAATCAAACCTGTGATTTGGGAATTGACACCTGATAGTAAAAAATATTTCACAAAAACAAGGAAACTATTGGTTGTGGGTTACTACCCGAGAAACAGTCAACAAACCAGCACAGTATGTTTGCATCACTCCAACCTTTTTTTTTTTCCAATTTATCTAAACATCTCTTTGGTCCTCCATAGGCATGGATTTATCCCATGACTTTAATGCTTACATCCATTAGGCAAACAGATGAGACATATCACCTAGGCAATTCCCCAAACGTGTCTTCATTCAGCATCTATATCCGACTATAGAGAAACCCTTCTGAGTGCAGAGAATGAGTCTGTTTTTCCCACAGTGACTGAGCCAGATCAGGACAAAACACTGCCAAAGCATTTCCTAGGAATGTACCTTCTTGGATTCAGCTTTATGAATGATCAGCTTCAAATTAGAATTCTGGGATTACTTACTCAGTCCAGTGAGGTGATCTCAAAGTTATGAAAAACCTGTGCTTTTTACAGTCTTCCACGAGTCTTCTTGAAGACAAAACACACTGGGCCAGAGAAAACAACCATCCATGAAATGTGACTTGGAATGATCACAGGTGGGGAAGCTGGCTGGAGGCGTGGCTCAGAATTTAAGAGGGCGTGGTGTTGTTACAGAAGACTTGAGCTCAGTTCCCAGCACTTGCTGCCCTCCTCCAGCCTCTCTCTCTCTCTCTCTCTCTCTCTCTCTCTCTCTCTCTCCCTCTCCCTGGGATTTCCCTGGAACACTGAACATGTATTGATATGCAGCATCGTGGGGAGAAGGTTTGGGTAGAAGTGGCTGTCAGGTTGGCTCCTGGCTACAGCTGCCAGCAACTAGAAACAAAGTCATCTGAAAGTGATTCTTGCTCAGGAGGAGAAAAATCCCCACCTCTCTTTCCCCTTCATGTCTCTAATCCTCTGTGTCCAAAATGAGCATCACGTGCTCTACTCCGACCATCTCAGGCCTTTGGAGCTGCAGAGTGTGGACTTTCAAATTTTGCAGAAGTGAATGGTCTAGAACAGAGTTAAACATATAAAGAAGAGCTTCAAGAACTCCCATGGAGGCTGGAAGTAGCCTTGGGTGGGTGCTCACACATCTCTGTAGACGGCAGAGGGTCAAACCTGGATTCCTTCTGCACTTGATGTTGGAATCTGGCCTTTCAGGTTGACGTTAGATCTCCTAACTGATTTACTGCGGGGTCACAGTGAAATCTGTCACCAGTCCCTGAGGAGAGCAAAGCAAACCATTTGTAGATAAGAAGGGAAAAAGCATAAGAATTAGAACCTAAAACAAAACTAAAACTTTGAGGCCTGCATCACTGTTATTTGCCGTCGGTAAGGGTGGACGGATGGGTGGATGGGTGGGTGGATGAATGAATGAATGAATGAATGGATTAACAACATGTGACGTATAATATGAAGGATTATTATTCAGCTCTAATAAGGAAGGGGATACTAAGGCTTATCATCATGTGCATTAGACTTGAAGACCTGCACTAAGTAGAGGCAGCCACAAAGGACATATAGTGGGAAATTACCAATACAGAGTCAGGTAGAAATATAAGGATATTTAATAGGGAAAAGCCTTACTTACAGAGCGACCTAGCCAGCTGGAGTGGCAGGATTCTGTGCAGCAAGTACCAAAGTGAAACCGAAAGAGCAAATGCAGTCACAGTACGTCACTCTGACCACACCCTCGAAAAGCGTGGTCAGGCACACCTGTAGCCAGCCCCTAAGTAGGCGTGGCTACAGCTTCCCCTACAAGGACAAAATTATACTTTTCCTCTGCAGGAGGTACCCACAGGAATAACATTCATAGAAAGAAAGAAAAAAAAAAAAAACCACGGGGCACCAATTTTCACAGCTGGGATGAGGAGGATGAATTGTTTAATAGGTAAAACGTTCCGGTAGGGAAATATGGGAAGGTGCTAGGGGGTGGACTTAGGTGGCATGGTCACTCAACAGTGTGGCTATCCCTATGCCACTGAATTGTACACTTAAAATGGCAATAGGGTGACACTTATGTCAACAATGACAACAACAGAGACTCCTGAGGTCAATGTCCAAATACTAGAGTCCCATGTACTTGTTCGCAGCAGGCTATGAGCAGGTGTGTAATCTCAGCTGCAGCCGAGTCTCAAGCTTCCCTCCTCAGAGAATGAGGGGCTACCTGACTTATGAGGCAAAACACGTTGTTATAATGGCCACTTAGGCACCGGCAATTAAAACCAATACCTATTACACGGTCATTTAAACGTGTGACAATTTGCTAATGCTTTTTATCAGCTAATAGGATCAGAAAGAGGTGAATTATATTTAACTAATGTACACACTTTAACGTGAGGCTAATGACCGACAAATTGGTATATTATGAAATAGAGACGTAGAGCTAGCTTGAGGGAGTGCAAGAGACTTAGGCAGATGGACTCAGACCTTTCATTGAGTTACCAGAAGAGCAGATAGCTGAACCTTCTGCCTCAAATGAGCACACACACCCAAAGTGTGATGGGTTTCTAGCTCGAAGAAAACTTCCTTGGGCCAAGGAAGGCATTGGGCACCAGCTGGGAGCTATCTGGTCAGATGCACATCCCGGAGGGTACCAAACCCCACACCTACCCCTCTTTAGAAAGACTCATTCTCTTACCGGGCAAGCGATAAAGGTCCCTAATAGAGTTACATGCTGACCTACTGACTAGGGTCCTAGCAGTGTGCTGACCCCACAGGAGAGCTTTATGGGTGTGTGTGTGTGTGGGAGATGAACTCCCTATGCCCAACCTGCTGTTTCTGTGGTCAGGGACCCTGCTGGAATCACTAGAGTGGACATGAAGTCCCCCAGGAGGTCCTACTACTGAGTGGGGATAGCTTATGTGTGTTCTCCAGAGGTCTGTGTGCTGGAAGCTTGGTCCCCAGTGTGGCACTGGGAGGGTCCTTTAAGAGGTGCAACCCTAGTGGAGTTTCTTAAGGGACACGACTCCTGTAAGAGACCAATGCTGGTCGTGTGGAGTGTGGGGGCTGCAAGAGTGGGCTCTGGCTGAGGTAGGGAGATCACTACAGAGTTAGACCATGTCATCTCCAGAAACACTGCCCTGAACACACCCAGTCTTGTCAAGGATGAAACTCAAAGACAGAAAGGCAGGGGAGCGGGGTCCTTCCAGTTCCCTGCCATGGCTCTTTCCCTTTCTGCTTTGTTGTCATGCATCCAGGGTCCTCTCAACAGAATGCTGCGTGGCCCCCTGCAGTGTTGTGACCTTAGGGGAGCCACTTGACCAACCAGGTCAGGTTCTTTCTCTTGTCCGCGCTGAGAGCCAGGGACAGAGTTGAGAGCTATTCCAGCCTGAGGCTGAGGCGGTAACTACACACTCATTCTATTATAGTAACACAGAGGGGTGCTTAGGTGCTTTAGTGAAGCACAAGAAAGTCTCCTTGGCCTGCCAAGTGCAGCCCGGAGCCCAGGTTGTGGCATTATCTTTTGATGTTTACAGGGCCCAGCTGGATGCCCACAGAAGGGCTGGAGGAGCCAGGAGTCTGTGCTAGAGCACAACACTGCCAGGCACAACACGGGCATTTTTCTCCCAGCTCCCACCATTACAGTTGTAAGGGCATCTCTTTTGTCATGAGATTGACTTTATCCAGGTGGGACTCTCAGGAGGTAGAGCTCCTGACGGCTGTGTTTTACGCTCTTGCGCCTCTTAACTCTCTACCTCTTGTTAGGTCAAATCCTTGTTTGATAAATGGGGATAACATACCTCAGGCAGAGGAGGAAACTGAGGCAGGGAAGTGGTTCCCAGTGGCTGCAGCTAGTTGACTTTTGCTTTTACTTGATAGGAGGCATCAGAGGCCTCCAACATATAGGGGCCTCCAATACATGGGGGCCTCCAACATAGTCTCTTCACTTTTACAGGAAGGGAACACAGAGGGAACCCCTGTCTTGCTCTGCCAAGTGCCTCTGATAAACACTCAAGGTGGGGCATCTGAGGAGGACCCTATAACCTAAGTATTGCATTTAGATTTCTGCAACCAGGGATGGCCAAGAGACCAAACCTTTTTCCTGAAGGAAATGGGGGCGGGCGGGTCACACAGTTCTCACCTATCTTCCCACTAGCACAGGGAGCCTGTGTGTTAAAATGGCTTCATCATCCTAGAAGTTTTACTCCAGCTCAGCATCAGCAAGTCTAAAATCTGGAAATTCAAGGCAAGACCAGAGCAGGACCTGCTTGCCTTGCTTGCAAAAGTTTCCCCGGTGTCCTTCCAAAGTGAAGAGGAGACACGGGAGAGAAGGCACCAGAAGATGGGAGGAACTCAGGAGAATCTGCATCCTGGCTACTTGGGGCTGATGGTCACCTATGCTGTCCACTCATGTGTTTCTTGAAGGATGTGTGACACTCCAACCCCACTGGATGCTGTGTGTGTCTGGGGTGCTGTGTGAGGCAGAAGGAGCCAGAGCTGGACCAAAGGATGTAGGGGTTTACAGAAATGTCCCATTTCTGTTCTGTCACCGTGTTTTTCTGTTCATGTTGCTAATAAAGGAGAGTAACCCACACTAAAGTAGTTCCCACTTCATACTCTGCACAGGAATTTCCCAGCCCCAAATCCACACGAGTTGTATGCAGAGGGGATTGAGGGCTTGCAGACCTGTCCTATCAGCTACCAAACTGCAAATAGCTGATGGGTGAAGGATGGGGCTATGTCTGCTGCCCCTTCTCAGTGCTAGGAGTTTGTCTGCTTTGGACATCTGCAGGTCTTGTGTGTGCCTTCGGTCTCTGTGAGTTCATGTGTGCATCAGTCCTGTTGTGTCTGGAAACCTATGTCCTTGGAGTCATCCATTCCCTCTGGGTCCCACACTCTTTCTGCTTCCTTTTCTGAACAGTTCCCTGAGCTCCCAGGTTTGATGAAGATGTCCCTTTTAGTGCTCTGAAGTCTCTCACTGTCTTTACGTTGTCCAAGTGTGGTCTCTGTGTTTATTCCCATCTACTGTAAGAAGCAGCTTTTCTGATGAGGGTTGAGTGAGGTAGTGATCTATGGATAGAGCAATATGTCAATTTTTTGAGGCTATTTTGAAAGGTACTGTTTCCCTGTTTTCTTTCTTAGTTGTTTGTCATTTGTATATAGGAATGATACTGATTGTGTGTGTGTGTGTGTGTGTGTGTGTGTGTGAGAGAGAGAGAGAGAGAGAGAGAGAGAGAGAGAGAGAGAGAGAGAGAGAGAGAGAGAGAGGAGAGAGTTAATTTTAATCCTGCTACATTATTGAAAGTGGTTATCATCTATAGAAGTTTCCTAGTGCAGTCTTTAGGGTCTTTTGTGTTTAAAATCCTATTATATATAAATAAGGGTACTTTAGTTCATTCCTACCTCTTTGCATCTCTGTGATTCCTTCAGTTGTCTTATTATTCTAGACAGGACTTCAAGTCTGTACTGAAAAGATATGGAGAGAGTGGACATCCTTGTCTTGTTCCTGATTTTAGCAGAGTTGATTTGAATTTCTGTCCATTTAGGATGATGTTACATGTGGGCTGCCTTTGTTACATGGAGTTATGTCCCATGGACCCCTAGTCTCCCCAGGACATTTATGAAGGGGTACTGGATTTCGTCAAAGGCCTTTTCTGCATGTAATGGGATGATCATGTGATTTATGTCTTTGTCTGTCTACATTATGGATTATGTTTGATTTCATCTTTGGGATAAAGACTTGATAATGATGGATAAAATTTTTCCCATGCGAGCTAAGAGAATGAGAAGGGAAGAAGAGGAAGGATTCAGAGGTCATGAGGGAGCAGAAAGGTTGAGTCAGGGGAAGAATAGAAGAAAGGACATATGATAGGTAGGGTTTTAGTTGGGGGGTGGTAGGGGAGGACGGGAGGGAGAAGGGAACTGGGATTGTCATGTAAAACAATCTTGTTTCTAATTCAAATAAAAAAATCTGAGAAAAAATTTTCCCCATGCTCTTGAATTTGGCTTGCAAATATTTTATTGGTAATTTCTGGATCTACATTCATGAGGGATATTGGTCATTGTTGTGGTTGCTGCTGGGTCATTGTGTGATTTTGTTATCAACATAATGGTGGCTTTGTAAAAAGAATATAGAGATGTTCCTTCAGCTTCTATTTAGCATACCAATTTGCAGAGTATTGGTATTGATTCTTCTTTGAAAATCTGGTAGAATTCTGTGCTGAATCCATCTTGTCCTGGGATTTTTTTTTTTTTTTTGTTGTTGTTGGCTTAATTATTGCTTCTATTTTACCAGAGGTTATGGGTCTATTTAGATTGTTTACTCCATCTTGATTTAACTTTGGTAGGTCATATAAATCAAGAAATTCATCCATTTCTTTTAGGCTTTACAGCTTGATGGATTACAGATTTTTAAAATATGTCTTTGTGATTCTCAGAATTTCCTTGGTATTCATTATAATATCTCCCATTTTATCTTTAATTTTTATGAATTTGGATTTCTCTATCCACCTTTTGGTTAATTTGTCTAAGAGTTTGAAAATATTGTTGAGTTTTCTCAAAGAACTAAATCTTAATTTCATTGATTCTTTGTATTGTTTCTATTTCATTGATTTTAATCCTGAATTTGATTATTTTTCACCATCTGCTCTTTCCAGGTATTATTTACTTCTTGTTTTCCTAGAGTTCTCAGGTGTGTTACTA